TGGGCTCAGAGCATTAAAATCTAACAATCATTTATCTTAATTATATATATTTGTATATAGATGCGATATCAGCTCAATAAATTTTTTAAGTCAGTTTCTGTATTGATATTCAATAGTTGATGTATCGGTATGTAGATACGTTTTTAAAGATGTATTTAGTAATTATAAATATGGTTAACTCAGTATTTTATCCATCAAAAATATTAAGCAAGCCTGAAGATTTTTAAGACCTATTAATTCTAAATGATAAAAAAATCTCCATTCTATCATGTATAAAAATATTGACAATATTTGTGGTAATTTAATATCTTCAAATTAAATTTTAATTAATTGTGAAGACATGGGGCAGGTTTTGGTTTTGGTGGGGTACCTATTAGCCATTTTTAAGCAGGGATTATCTTGAATAAAAAAAATTCGACCAAATTTATCAAAACATTAAAAGCCACTCAGTTTTTCTTGGGCCACGAATGACATTATGAAGATGATTGACTTATTTTTTGTAAATTATATGACAGTTTTAAGTGATAATAAGTTCTTCCGGCTAATATATATAATATAGATGAACCTAATAAATTTAACATATTTGACAATTTATTTCTATTTATTTAATTAGAATTAATATTTTTATATAAATTTTTTTATTTCTACCATACAGATATATGTAAAGAATAAAACTACGTTTAAACATTTTGGAAAAATTGCTTCGTCTATTTTTTATAGCACTTCAATTTTTTATGGACAATATAATCCCTGTCTCCCCTATAATATATTTTAAAAAAATCATACCCAGGTCTGAATATTTTTTTTAAAAAAATATCTTTTTATATATATATTCTAAATAATTGTATAGGTAGTCTTGTTAAACGGCTCGATTTGAGCCAATTTAAAAACGGCTATAACATTATATCCAGAAAGACTATTATGTAAGCTTTAAGATTGTGGTCATAGATGGCACAAAAGTTTAGACATCTAACAGCGAAATGTCGGGGTTTAGATAATATTAATAATAACATGGTCATATTCTTAAAATAATACATTTCCGAATTTAAAATATATTTAAATTTTCGAACCATAGGGCGTTAAATTTTTTTAATATATTTATCGTGGAGTAAATAATAATAGCAGGCCGATTCAAAACAAACACTTAGACGACTCTGAAGCCGACTCATGCGGCTCATTGAGCCGCTCAAATTGAAATGAGTTTTGCGACTCAAAACTTGACTAGATTTTAGGATAAGTAGACTCGACTTAGCCGTTTAACAACACTAGTTCCAATCATATAACATTATATCAACGAATCTATGATTAATTTGGATATACTAATTTCGAAATTTTTTAGAAAAAACGACATATATATATATTTTGCCGATTATTACAAATATATTTCCTTTCAATCCCATATAATTCTCATGGGATTTCCAACAACATAGACACATACATTTCCTTTTAATTTCATATAATATGCCATATAATATCATTTTGCTCCAAACACCTGATCGTAATTTTTTTTGCTTCAAACACCTGATCGTAATCTTCCTGGCTCCAGTCCCCTTTTTAGTTGGTCCCGATGCCTTATTCCTTCTCTTTCTTCAGAGAATTTTACTCGACTTAATTTATTTCCAATGTTTTCTACGATCACCACTGACTCCTACCTTCTTGTACCTCCATATATTCTTGCCCACACGGTTTGTCCCACCATAAATTCAGGTTTCTCCGTTATCTCTCTCTCCACCTCTTGATGTAGTTTTGGTTTTAATAAATCCAATAATATTCTGGTTCGCCGCCCTAAAAACTTCTCTGCTGGGGACTGTTCTTCTCTCTTTCGACTGTTGTTACAATAGGCTACGGCTATCCAAATTTCCCCACCTCCATACTTTGATTTTCTTAACCAGCTCTTAACAAGTGCTACCATTTTTTCTGCCTGGCCGTTCGAGCTTGGATGATATGGCGGCGTTAACACATGTTTCGCCCCTGTTTCCTCACAAAATAACTTGAATTGACCACTTACGAAGGCCGGACCCTCATCTGAAACTATTTTATTGGGTACTCCAAATCGGGCCCAAAGTTTTTTAACATTTTTATCACGACTTGAGTTGTCAATCCCCTCACTTCTTCTTACTCTATCCATTCGAAAAAAGCATCAACCACCAGGAGATATATCTTGATTTCAAAGTCGAGAAAATCTAAATGGATTCTCTCCCAAGGTCGTACCACTTTCGGCCATTTGTCTTTACGAGGCATACTGGCCCATGAATTACACATCAAACAACCTCGGCAAATATTTTAAATTTCCTTATTCATGCCAGGCCACCATACATACTCACGCCCCCATTGCTTCAGTCGCTCAATCCCTTGATGTCCAGCGTGTATCATAGATAACACTGCGCCTCTCAATTTCATTGGTACTACTCCTCGGTTTCCTCGGACCAGACATTCATCCACTATGGCCAGCTCTTATTCTATGCACTTAAAATGTTTATATCCCTCTCTCCACGGCCTCTTTCCCCCAACGCTCCTTTTAATTCTCATTAGTTCGCGATCTTTCACGGTGCTTCTTTTTAGTTCCTCCCAAGTCACGGGACCACCTCTAGCTATCTTCGCTATCGCTCGAATTAGTCCCTTTTCTTTCTTTTCTTCCACTTCTTCGGATCCTATTTCGCTTTCATCTTCTCCCGCCCCACATCGAGACAAAATATCAGGTAAATAGTTTTCCCTTCCCCGCCTATATTTCACCTGCACATCAAAACTGCCAACCAGTTATAATCATCTTTGTAAACGAGGAGACAACATCAGCTCTTTATTATCCTTTTTGAAATGATGGACTAGAGGTTTGTGATCTGTGTAGATTATAAATCTGCGTCCAATTAAGTATTCCCGGCACTTGGTCAATCCAAAAATAACCGTCAAGGCCTCCTGTTCGATTACTGAATACCTTGTCTCTGCTGCTTTAAAAATTCTCGAGAAAAACAAAATAGGACTCTCCAGTTCGTCTATGTAATGAAGCAAGGCTCCACCCACACCCTTATTTGAAGCATCCACGGACAATATGACTCCAAATCGTTATTAAAGCATACTAAGATAGGTTCTTTTCCGATTTTACTTTTCAACTCTTCAAAGGCCTCTTCCTGCTCATCTTGCCATATAAATTTTTCTCCCTTTTTCAATAATTATATAATGGTGCCGCTATCCGTGCAAAACCCTCCACAAAACGATGATAATAGTTTACCATTCCCAAGAAAGCCTGTACCTCCACTTTAAAATTAGGTCTCAGCATGCTAGTTATGCTCGCCATATTTTTGTCCAACAGCATAACCTCCTTTCCATTGATTTTATGACCCAAATATATAACCTCAGACACTCCTAATACACTTTTTTCTGCGCTTGCCCGCAACCCTTTATCCCTGATTCTTTTGAACACCTCCTCTAATCTTTGCTCATGCTGTTCAGGAGTTTCTCCCATTACTAATACATCATCCATGTAATAAAACACTCCTTCTAGACCTTGGAAAACAGCTGCCATTGTTCGTTGAAAAATCGGAGCCGACACGCTACGTCCAAATGGCAATCTACAGAACGCAAACAATCCTTTCGGCGTAGTAATGGCCAATAGATGCTGCACCTCTGGCTTCACCCGCAATTGTAGGTAGGCATTTGAAAAATCCACTTTTGAAAAATATATACTTCCTTTGAGACTGGCTAATATTTCCTCAATTCGCGGCAAGGTATATTTCACTTCCACCACCCACGGGTTTAACGTAACCCGAAAATTTGCGCATAAATGAAGCTTTCCATTGGCCTTTTTCACCAGTACCAATGGTGTCGCCCATTCGCTATATTCTACAGGACATGCTATGCCCTTTTGCACCCATTGATCTTCCTTGTTCACTTCATTTCGCCATTGAAACGGTATTCGCTGTAACGCACAAAATTTTGGAACATGTCCCTCCTTCAATTTGATATCTACCTCATAATCTCTTAGGCATCCCAAACTTTCTTCAAAGATTTCCTTATTAATATTCACTAATCTTCGCACTCCCTCTTGCACCTTTATTATCGCAAATTCCATTTCTTCATTTCGAAATTCCTCGTCTTTTTGTCGCCCTGTCTCTTTCTCCTTCATTATTATTTCTTGATTATATATTCTCTTGGTATTTCCTTGTTTCATACCATCATTTTCTGACCATTCTTTCTGCAACTTTGTTTCACCCTTTAGAATTTCATCTAGTTTTACTTCTAATTCTTCATTATCATTAATTTCCTCCTTCCTTTCAGCATCCTCTCTTCCCTCTTTTCTCCTATAGTCGCGAAAATCCCTAAAATTTCCCCCGATATCTCCCCTATAATTCCCCCCGATATCTCCCCTATAATTCCCCCCCCCCCCCCGATTTCTCCCCTATAATTCCCCCCGATATATCCCCTATAATTCCCCCCGATATCTCCCCTATAATTCCTCCCGATATCTCCCCTATAATTCCCCCCGATTTCTCCCCTATAATTCCCCCCGATATCTCCCCTATAATTCCTCCCGATATCTCCTCTTCCACCCCTTTCCCCCCCCCCCAAAAAGGTCTCAATTCCAGGTAATTTATCTCTATACCAATAATTCATATATTGATTTCCCTCATCCCTTTCAATAGGTACAAATATACCGCACCAAGCAAATACACTCCAAAAATTACAATCTGGACCTATTTGCGTGATCCTGTCCCATCCCAATACGGCCCTTCGATTAATTATCCATAAATCCAATATCTCCATTCTATTGTCCAACATGACTTTTAATTCTACTCTTCCCATTACGGCTACTTCTGATCCATCCAACTGCCGGATCTTGATGTCTTCGCTTTTAATCATTCCCTCCGACCAAATACTACGAAATTTCTCATATCCAATCATGGAGATAGCTGCCCCGGTGTCAAATAACATGCATACCATATTCCCATTCAAATTAATCCATACTCTAGGGCAAGGATCATGCACTATTTCCTCTTGGATCATATTTATACATTTCGACTTCTCCCTTTTATTTCAATAATTAAATTTTTCCATTTCTTTGACCCACCGCTTCTCGATCTCTGTGGTATATCCCTTGCTATCATATAGTCACAATACTGACATTCTCTCGCCACATGTCCTTCTTTGCGGCATCGAAAGCATATATTATTTAAACTTTTATTCTCCGTTAAATTGGATATTTCTATACCCTTATTTTTCCCGCTTTCAAAAATTCTTACATTTGGAGCAATTTGAGCCATATCTCTCTGTGGAAAACCGCCCCTTGTATTGAAATTGGCAACATTGCATTCATCCCTATTATGACCAAATCGTCCACAACCCGCACAACGTAATTTATCACGTTTTCCCGGGCAAAAAGGAGCTATATGTCCATATTTTCCACATTCGAAACATTTCGTTTCTTGGCAATCTCTTACCATATGACCCTGTTTTCCACAATTATAACAATTTAGATTTTCTCTTCCCCGTGGATTAAAACCTGGCCTTATTTCCATTCGCCTTCCCTGCGAATTTTCTCTTGACCATCTATATGGCCCCAATTGATTGTTATATCCCGACCCAATTTCTTATTTCTATATATTTCTTATTTTATATTTCGATTTCCTTATAATTTTATCTCAGATATTAATATATTAATGTATCAATTTCCTATTTCTATATAATTTACTTTTATTTCCAAATAATAAACAGAATAAAAAATAATGTTATAAATCTTCTTTTTCAGGGTTTTTATAGCCCACATAAATAATAATAAAAAAAAATATTGATAAAAAACAAATAATAATGATTAAAAGAAATAATATTGACAAAATTATAATATTGATAAAAAAAAACAAATAATATCGATATCGATTAAAAGAATATGAGTCATATACATTAAAATAAGCGTGCCTAGAGACTGTGAGGAAGAATATTCGTCAAATGAATAATCCATAAATAAATTATTTTAATTTATTTACTATTTTTTACATAAACTAAAATAGCATGGATTTTATTTTATAAGCATAATATTAAAATAATTATAAAAAATTTAATATTATTATATTATAATAAATAAAAAAATATAAAAAAATCTAACTTTGTAAAAAGTAAATTTCAAACAAATACAATTAATGATTTAAAATATCCGGATGCTGCCACTCTCGTCTCGGGTGTTATATTATTTTTTTATGTTATTTATTTTTTTTAAAATAAATATAACATTTTTTAAAATGAATACTTATGTATGATTAAACCTGGGAATGAGTTTTGTCTAAATAAACATTACAATATAGTTTAGTGATCTGCATCGGGCCTTATTTTTGAAACCCGGCCCGAAATTTCTCTAAAAAAGTTTCCCTGGTCAGGCCCAAACCCAAAATTTTTTTAATATTATTTTGCCGACCAGGCACGAACCTGAAATTATTTATGAAAAAATTTACCGGATTGGCCCGATTTATTATAAATATAGAAATTAGTTTTTATAAATAATTCTAAATAAACGATATATATGTTATATGGCGTCTAGTTTTTATAAATAAAATCAAATATTTTATTTTACACAAAAAATTCAACATAAAATAGATAAATTTAGATAAAAAAATTTATCAGGCCTGAGATCGACCCGGCCCGACCCGAATTTTTTTAAAAAATTTATCAGGCCTAAGTTTGACCCGGCCCGGCCCGAATTTTTAAAAAAAATATTAGGCCTGGCCCAGCCCGAACCTGATTTTTTTTAAAATTATAGGCCCGAAGCCCGTTCGGACCAGGTACTGGCCGGACCTACTCTTGCAGATCTTTATTATACTTCGTGCAATATCATATTGATACTTCGGTAGAAAAAAAACAAAAGTTTGCCATACCGATGAAATAAGTGTCGTAGACCTTTTTTAATTATTATGATCTTTATTTTGGCTCAAGCCGAAATTTATTTAAGATTAGTGTTGGTAAACGGCTGAAAACTCATTTAGTTTTTGAGTCTAAAATTGACTCAAGCTGGCTTTTTGAGTCAAATTTAGCTCGAGTGGGCTCATGACTTAGTTCAAGCCGACTATTGATTCAAAATTTATTTATTTGTTAGCGTTGTTAAACGGCTAGCCGGATTAGCCTTGAATCGACTTGAGCCATCGGCTTGAGTCATCGGCTTAAGCCATCGACTTGAGCCATCGGCTTGAGCCATCGGCCTGAGCCATCGACTTGAGCCATCGGCTTGAGCCTGAGCCGAATTTTTGGCTCAAAAACTGGCTGAGTTTTCGGCTAAGCCGGCTTGGCCCAGCCATTTAACAGCACTACTATCATCTGAAAAATTACATTCTAATTGGCAAATCTTTATTGTCTATTCTATAAGTTTTATAGAATTTTAGAATTTTACTATTGACAATTTTTTAGGATATAATATTTTAACATTTTTTATTAATGAATAAGAATTGAATTCAGTAAATTTTTAATCTAAGGATGAAAAATTTATAGACTGGGCCAGTCACTGAGCAACAAAAATTTGCCAATTAGAATGTAATTTTACAGATGATAGAGTTATAGAAAAAATTTAAATATGCATCCTATCTAAGCACATTAAGTTTAAAATAAAAGATTTAGATAAAATTGATGAGATTATAAAAACTGGATGTGAGGCAGAAGACATTGATACTAACATTACTTTTGTTAAAGTTATCACTTAACTAGATACTTTAGGTTTGGAGGATAAACTAAAAAATGAATTCGAGATAAAACTTATTTCAGACACAAAAAAAACATCAGACGATAATCAATTGATACCATATAATAACAGCATAGCTATGGAAATTTTAATAATAATAATAGACAAACAACTTATGATGATCGAAACAATTATAATAGCAAAGAGTTTTAATAGCAACAACAGACAAATTTACGACAACCAAAACAATCAACATAGATATGGTAATTTTAACAACAACAGACTACCATATGACAGTCGAAACAACTATCATATGCGAGGAAGGACATTGTTATTGTTGGATTCGTTAAAGGAAGAAGGAAAGGAAAAGGTTTAGGTGTAGTGAAATCTAGTAAATTTTTCCTGGGACAAGAAGTGTATATTTTAATGTTCAAAGGAAAATTCCGTGGATGATGGGCAAGGTGGAAGAAATAATTGGCAGTGTTAAATACAAGGTTAAAGATGACAATGGAATAGTATATTGTAGGCATCAAGATCAATTGAGGCCGAGTTGTAACTATGAGTATATGATAGAGATATGGTGATTGATGCTGGAGAGTGTTGTGTATTTTTTTTAAATAAATAATGTTGTTTTTTTATTATTATGTATAAAGGAAAAAGGAAAAAACAGTGATGATGATTTGAAAATTAAAAAGATTTGATTTTTGATTGTAAATTTAATAAAAGAATTATATTACGAAAGTTTTTGGATTTAATTGTAAATTAAATAAAAGAATTTTATTTTTATAAGAAAGTTTTGAATTTATTTTAAATTGAATAAAAAATTATTGTTTTTTTTGTACGAAGAATTATTCTATTGAAATTCCGCCCATGGAACCATAAATTCCACATTTCGGGCGGAATTCCAACAGAATATTTCTTCGTACAAAGAACAATAATTTTTTATTCAATTTAAAATAAATTCAAAACTTTCTTATAAAAATATAATTTTTTTATTTAATTTACAATCAAAAATCAAAAACTTTTTAATTTTCAAATCATCATCACTGTTTTTTCCTTTTTCCTTCATACATAACAATAAAAAAAAATATTCATTTAAAAAAAATACACAACACTCTCCAACATCAAACACCATATCTCTATCATATACTCATAATTACAACATCTCCCCTCCTTTATATTCCTCTCTCGGCCTCAATTGATCTTGATGCCTACAATATACTATTCCATTGTCATCTTTAACCTTGTATTTAACACTACCAATTATTTCTTCCACCTTGCCCATCGTCCATCGGAATTTTCCTTTGAAAATTAAAATATACACTTCTTGTCCCAGGCAAAATTTAATAGATTTCACTACACCTCTAACCTTTTCATTTCCTCCTTCCTTTAACGAATCCAACATTAACAATGTCCTTCCTCGCAAAAATTTTTCTGCCGGAGACCCATCTTGATTCCTGCTATTGTTGTAAAACAATTGCGACAACCATCTTTCACCATCACCATACCTCTCCTTTTTCAACCACGATTTCACCACTGCAACCATTCTCTCGACCTGTCCATTGGAACTGGGATGATTTGAAGCCGTTATAACATGCATCACACCGTGCCTCTCACAAAACGTCTTAAACGCTACACTTGTAAACGCCGTACCACCATGCGATATCATCTTTACCATTCCATATTTCCCAAAAAATTCCTTCAATCTTCGTATAACTATAACTGACGTTAGTCCCGACACCTTTGAGCAATCAATACATTTGGAAAAAGCATCCAATATAAGGAAATAATACTTTTTCTCCCATTCAAAAAAAATGTATTCTTACACATGCCTGTGTAGTTTCCTTCCAGCTATCACCCTACTTCCTCTGGGTAGATTTTACCAAACATTACAAGTTAAACATTCTCTGCAGATCTTTGTAATATCTATCTGCATTGACGGCCACCATACATATTCTCTAGCCCATTTTTCATTCTACTTACCCCTTGATGTCCCGCATGCAACATTCTGATTTATCTCTCAATCTTCGCGGTACCATAGTTCTATTACCTCTCACCAAACAGTCATCTATAATTGTTATTTATTGTTCCACCAATCTGTATGGATTATCTTTCCTTTCCCAATTTTTTTCGCCTATTAAACATTGCTTAATTTTTTTTAACTCCTCATCCTTTATCGTACTTTGTTTATTTTCTTGCCAAGTCACTGGACAATTCCTGAAAGATAACTTACTAATCGCTCCATTATCATAATTATCCTCATCGCTCACATTTCTTCCTCGATACATAATCTGGATAACACATCTGGCAAATGATTAATCCTTCCTGGTCTATAACGTACCTCCACATTGAAATTTCCAACTAACAACAACCACCTTTGCAGTCTAGGAGACAGCATCCATTCCTTATTATCTTTTTTAAATAGAAACGTTAACGGCTTGTGATCGGTATATAATGAATCGACGCCCTATCAGATACTCTCTGCATTTCATGAGCCCAAATATAACCGCCAATGAAAACCAAATAATGCTCCTCCGCCGGTCTGAACCTTCGTGAAAAATAGAAAACAGGCCTTTCTGAAAGGTGTATTATTTTTTAACAAGTCATATAATGGAACGGCGATCTCTGCAAAAGCTTCAATGAATCGATGATAAAAATTTATCATTCTCATAAACGATTGCAACTCCTTCTTGTCTTTTGGCGATCGAATATTTTTTTTACCCTCAATATTTTTACTTAATGGCGTGACTCCTCTGTCTTCTATTATATGTCCTAAATATATTA